CAACATAGTTACCAAAATTTGTATTTATTTCGTAATGACTACTTTGCAAATTTTGTTTGTATTAATAGTCAAGTTATGCACACCAGAAATTATCCTGAATGCACATAACTTCTCTTTATTGCCAAGGCCTAAACTTGATGTATGTTAGTGTGCTATGACTATACTTCCTTGATACATCTCTAGAGCAAACACCACCGAGATGCTCCCAGAATAAATATAATTAGTAGACCAATATAAATGTGTATGTGAAATAGTGTAAAGCTTCAAGTCGGTAATTTAAAAGGAACTACAGTATAAATCCACATTGTATGTCATGCAGCTAAACGTACATCGTCTCATTTTTAAAATATCTGATTAAATATCTTCGTGAGCTATAATCAAATGGTGCTTTCCATTAACTTAACATCTACGAGCCAAATATATGCGCTTAAATACTAATTAATGTCATGTTCACATAATTATAATCGAATCGGCCTAAATAACCAAAGTATGTTGGCTAGCTAACAGCTATAAAGACTTTTTTAAGTAAGTTTTCTATTCATACTTCTTCGAGTCTCAATAAATGTTTTTTTATCATGTAGATGCTTTTTGGTAGGAAAACAAGGTCAAACAACCTCTATACAACGAAAGGAGACTGCGACCACACAAAAGGCCACACCATCTTGCTCTTCCTACCTTCGATGCTTTTTATTTACAAGAACATATGAGCAGAGTTTTTTTAGTATCTCAGCTATTGCATAAGTCGGATTTATATTGCTTGAAAAGCCAGGTTAAATTTGTTTCGATTTCTACTCATTCATAACCACCCTATACTTTTGATTTTATTGTATTTTATCTTATAAAAAATATGTGCTCAAACCTCTTTAGAACCTTATGCATAAAAACGAACGGTTGAAACGTCTCTACTGTAACAAGGAAGCAACGCACGATACCAAAAAAAATGATATCTCTAAGAAAGCTACAGAAGTCGATCATGTCAATCTTTTGACTCAAAAACTTTCAAAAGTTAGTTATTTTTTGCTTATTTCTTATAAGCATATTTGTTAAGTTTCCAGGACTTATTATTCAAACCACACTTTACTCTTATCATTAGTTTATATATTTATTCCTCTATTAGGATGTTATACTTGTAAGTCATTTTGGTGGGTGACGTAAAACTTATCTATGTTGTTCTGCCAATATTATCGTAGTCGTTTGTGTCGTTTGCATTCACGAGATTTTAAAGTGGAGTTTTTAATTTGATGGTTTTCATATTACTCTCACCTGATGGCCTTTTTGTGGAATTTTAATAGCATGCCTTTCCTGTATTTTTGCTTTGCTTATTTCCTATATTAGGCGTCCTTTATTGTTCTACCCGATTTATTCGAAAGTATTAATAATTTTCGCCATATTATTATCAAAATATTTATGTATTCCTACACACCACTTATGGGTATAAACTCTAAGAGTGATTAAGCAAAGCAATTTTCGTTCAAACTTGTATTATTGTTTTAATCCTTTAAATGGGTTTGGAAACAATTTTATTTATTAAATATCTAGGGATATTTTTATATAACTGCTTCCAAATTATTTATCATAATATGTAGGACATATCGGAAATGCTCCGAATTGGATAGAATCACTTCTATTACAGATATTGTATATCTTCCTTTTGCTTCATTCACCATATATGCTGTTATCGTTATTACATTTACTTTATATTTCCATTCTGTATGAAAGCCAAAATATATGTAAATATTCACCCTTATTATGCTTCTATTCACTATAGTTGTAATTGCTGTTGTGGGATTTTCTGCCTTAATAGCTACCATCCATATTATGTCAACGTCCATTTCAATAAATTCACTTCCTTTGCATCCAATGAACCTTCTGGCACATAACCACCATTACCGATAAGTAACTAAACTGTAGGACCGTCTTTCTTTCCTTCGAATTTGTTTACAGAACTGTTTCGAAGTCTTCTCTCCTTGATTTCTTATAAAAACTCAATGCTTTCTTATCTATCAGTTGTTTTTTTTTAATCTCTAGGCTAGGCAGGAAGCTGCCGAACTCGAGCTTGCGCACCATTGGGTCCACGCGCGGCTCAGTTGCATCGTTGGTCAATCACCATCTGTCCAAGCGAGTCTTCGGCATGAATTCTCGGGTACACCGATCGCCTTAAACCACTTTGCTTGGCCATTGCCAAAAAACTGGTTCCTCAAAGAAGCATGGAATAGTGGCTGTCCCAGCAAATTAGTTGTATTTGATTTAGATACAATAAAGCAGTGTAAACAAGACGATCAGAATCAAATAAATTTGAACGAAAGTATTATTCTTCAGCCGTAAGATTTTTTATGCAATTCGTTACGAGACATATCTAGACCCAACTAGGTTAGGACTATAAAACTGAATTTTATACCCATAAAATCAATATGCAAGAAGCAATGCAATAAATTTGCATATATTTGAAACCATTACAATGTTTTAAA